GTTTTTGGAGCCCAAGCTGTCAAAATTAGGTAGTATAGGAACTTTAGGTCTTAATATTTTAGGTCTCAACCTTAGGTCAAAAATTTTTCTAATCCTTAGAGAGAGAATTCAAAAAAATATACTGAAATACTCCAATGCTAAAAGCTAAATAATAATAAGACAGATTCTATTGGGTTTTGTCTCATCATCTTTGGGTCAAATGAAGGATTTTTTAAACAATTTGGGTTTGTAATAATGAGAATAATGAGAAAGTGCTTAACATTATCAGAACCTAATCAGCAGAAACTGAAAAGCTACATTTAAACTCTTTCATTGAAAGTTTTTATTTGGCAGACCACAGTAATTGTTTGTCTCAAGTACAAAAATGTTATTGAGAAGAAAATCAAGCTGGTTTGGAATCTGCAAACTTAGAAATTCTTCTCCTCTGGATTCCACTGTATCTGACTCATCTTACTTTTTAAATGACTACATAATTTGGATTACAACGTTTCTGAAGTGATATAATGGGCAAGAGTTCTCATGAAAAAATCCCAATGCCAACTTGCTACCAGGTTATGACACTGCAGTCCAGAAGAGGTAATTATGAAAAGGAAGATAATCTGACAATCATAAATTTTAAACTATGATTTTTTCCCATTGATTTTAATATAAATCTATTTGCCTTTCTAAAAGGAAAATTTTTTCAAAGGAATTAAGTGTTCAATAATAATTGTTGTGTTTTTTTTCTCCTCTCTAGTGTTCATAATGGCTTCTGGGCTTTTGGTTTACCCTTTTGGTTTCAACTCTGCTACTGTGAAGAGATTCTGTGAGAACTCAGACATCTACTATGCAGGAGACTGCCAGATTGGCTGGGGGTATATGCTGGCAATTGTTGGGGTCATGTTGTCTGTCTTTTTACCATTCTTTGCAAAATATGCACCAAAAGAGCACATATCTCCAACTCCAATACCTACTATTTTATAGTATTTTATTACTGTTTAAGAACAGAACATTCCTGTCTACAGGCAATGGGCAGAAATTATTATAGCACTTCCATTTAGCTGTATTGCTAAAGAGAAAAAAGGAGATGGGGAAGAGAAGGTCAGATTCACAAAGACCAAAAGTGCATTGATAGTCTTCCGTAAGTATGAGCAGCGAACACTCTGGAATTGAAATGAGACTAGTCAGCAGCCTTTATACTGCTCTAAACATATAGTGGCATAATGCCTTAGACAAAAAAAAAATAAATCTGTTTATCCTCAAAACATCTGTCTACCTCCCAGTTTCTTTTGTGTCTCAAAATCCTAAGTCTTTTCAAAGCTTCAATTCACTTTTTATATATTATTAGATGTCAAAACTTTTATGAACCCAATAATTTAAAAATCAATAATGATATTTTGTTACAATTATTTTGATTAGTGAAAAAGCGCCTACTAGTAGCCACGGCCTAAAATTAAGCTTGAATCTAAAAAGAATTGCATACGAGAGAAAAGTTTCTTTTTAATCTATATGTATTCATAGCACCTGCATATTGTAAGTTCTCGGCACACTTTTTAATACTGATCTAATCTTCAAGATTTAGAGTCATCTTCATGAAGATTTGCGTAAAATTTAATTCCTTTTTTCCAGAGAGAGATATCTAACTACTTCCAGAGGCTTCATGATGGTTTAATAGTTTAACAACAGGAAAAAGAAAAGCTAAGAATTTTCTTTTGGTATTTCTTAAATGATAATTTTAGGTGGACTTTTACAAAATTACTTGAACTATTACAACTGTAGATTTTGGGTTTTGTTGTTTGTTTTAAGGCGTAAAAGAAAAATCTGTTTACATAAATGTATGTGCCCGATGGCCCTTGGAAGTAGTGATAATACAAACCAGAACAAACTAGATTCTAGTACTTCCATTACTACCAAGAGCCTATTATCGTTTAAAAAAAAAAAAAAAAAAAAAAAAAAAAAGTGAAGTGCTACTGAACACAATAAGTGATGATGCTGTGTCAGAACTAGCAAATGGCCAGATTTCATGGGTTTGTATGTGAAATTTGTGAAGACTGATTTCCACAATAGCACTCAATTCATTACTATCAAGCATTGAAATAAGTGCACTTGATTGCCTTAAGCAAAAGAAACATTGGGTTCTAATCTCACCCCAACACTAGGTTTTTCATTTAAAATAAAAATTAATTCTAACTCTATTATCATCTTTTATTTTCTATTATTTATTAAAAAAGAAATAATCACATGGATTATATTTAATTCAGAGCTGTACTTCTTAGTTTTGTATTTTGGCACAAAACAAGTGATCAAATTTATTATTCTTCACTTAGCTGAGTCAAACTGATTCCTCAATTTTTATTTTTTTTTAATGGAAAATGTACATGAAGGGACAGAGACATGTTGAGGATGTATAAGAAAATGCAAACAGATAGAACAATCACTGTGTTATTTTAGTAAATGTCAAAGACTTCTGCAGCCTTGTTTACATTCCTCACCCTTCTAAATTCAATGGAACATTGCATTGTTTCCAAAATAATTGCCTGTTGTTACATTTTCATGCGTTCTAAAAGCAAATTCTGCACATAAACTTAGCAAGTTCCACCACTATTCTTTGAAAATACAGATTTCAATGTAGAATTAAGTACAGAGAGCGTGCACATGCTATGGGTTTTTGCTCACAGTCACTAAGGAATTAAATCTTCCAAATGTTTAACAAAATGGGTTGAAGGAATGCCTCTGAAGTAAGAAGAATAAATTTCAGTCACTTCTGTAATGTACTTTTCAGTAAAGTTTTACACTTTTTTTAATGAATGGCTGAAATTGGTAATTTTCACGTAAGAGTCAGAGAAACGAGGAATAACAAACAACATGTAAAATCATCACCGCAAAGTAGAAAGACAGAGATGCAGGCTTTTCTTTCCTAACCAACCTGTGCCTTTACACTAGAACCATTATACAAGACAGGATCAATACGGTTAGAAAACAAAACAAGCAACAACTGAAAAATGTTGAGTGATGTGTATAAACTGTATTATGTAGGGGTTTTTCTGTTTTGTGTAACGTTTACGACTGTTCACTTAATGTTTCACTAGAAAAAGTGATTTGTTAGTGTAAAGTAGAAAACTTCTTTTTGCAAAGATCTGAACACTTACTGAAAGTAAAATTATTTTAGATTTTTATTAACAGCCATAACATACCTAGCAGACACAACTGACCTATTCCTGTCATTCCTTTTTAATGTAACATTCCCATGAGGAGAACTGGACCCCTCAATCATCCACCTGCAGGCAGCAGCACTATGACATTTGCATGCTGCTGGCAGGTCTGGTCCCACAGCTGAAGCTTTCTTCATGTTTTAGCTTACTATTACAATAGTCATACAATTTACAACACTGCTGTACCAAATCCTCTACTTCTTAAAACTCAACTTCTGTTGTGAACATCGTCAGGCTCTGTAATATTCTGCACCTTTTATGAGTTAAGCTAATGCTTCCATTTGGAGCTTCCTTTAATATTTTAATATATATAAAGGAAATCAAATAGATGTATATGACCTCGACAACTGGATAGACAAAACTTTCCATGAAACATCCCCTCTTAGAACCAGCTTAGCACAGAAGGTAGAGATGATAAGGCAAGTGATTCTTACAAAGTTAATGAATCCTGTACTTAAGATCCTGAACTGGAACATTAAGGGGGGTTGTTGCTCACAATACATGTGCTAACACTGACAGATCACTTTTTTAATATAAAGACTGTCTGCGCGTTAAAATGTGTAAAAGCGTTTTCCTGTTATAAGTCAAACGATTTACTGGACCAGGTTCAATTTTATTCTAAATATATAATTTTTTAAGTGTAACTAAAAGCTGTATTTTCCATTAATGTGTTTCTGCGTTGACTAGCTGGCTCCTTTTTAGAATATTAACTGTTTTCTGTATTTGACTTGTTGGATACAATATCTCAATTATTTTAAATGTGAAATTTCCAATTGCCAACACTGTATAATAAAATTTAAAAAAAGAAAAACATCACAGTGTTCACCATTTTCTTGATAACACTTTTATTTTGCAACTCCCAACAGATCTGTTACAAAGCTTTTGAAGTAAGGGAACTAGCTAAGGGGAAAAGGAAATAGAAACAGCAGGAATAATCTATGAAAGTTAACGTTTGAAGGCAAAGACACATAAACAGGTACATGGTCCATCCCTCATGAAAGATGTTTCTATGGCAAAGGCAAGGAAGTTCTGTGTTCAAATAATTTTCTCTGATTTCCTCTGTGTCCTTGAGCAATTTTCCTACAGCTTTGGGGGCTGTTGCTATTTTATACAGGTGTTATACTGATTATTTATTTTTTAAAAAACATGAATCAGATAACATATCAAGGGGGACAATATGAATACAGCTGCATCCTGTGAAATCCTTCTGTAGTATTTATTATGTTCATTTCGAGAAAAGCTTCTACACGTGTTCTTATAATCCAGTAAAGGGAAGCTATTAGTTGGAATTGAAGTGGAATACAGATCACCTCCTTACTTTCTACCAAAAAGCAGTTTTAAGGCAATATGCAGAGCCAAAGAGATCTCTGTTGGTGTGTGGTAGCTATTAAACTCTAACCAAATACTCCTCAAAAGACATATATAGTCAACATTTTGAAGGACTTTCTAGAAATGGAAGATAATGAAAAGCAATGGCAACCTGAATTAGTACTGATGATCTTTCTCTAAGACACTTGGACTACTGCAAAACTTAAACACTTTAATTCAGAATTTCTCCAGTAAACTCTAATCTACTATGTAACAAACCCCTGTCATTGCGTATTTAACTGGGCAAGATAAGCTATGAAAAGTTAAGAGTGGCATCAAAACACTGTTAATAACATTTGTTGAATAACACAGCATAATGATATTTTCAATTATTTAATCAGATTTTCAGAACTAGATTTGGTAGATGCTTTAGGATGTCCAGCCTTTATGGGCAACGATTAATGAAAATTGGTTTTGGACAACCATTTCTACTTCTAAATTTCATTCATTGTTTTTTACATATGCTGTCATTGCAACATCTGCAATTTTAACAAAATCTTGGAAAGTGTTTTGTTCTTGAGTAGTTGCTGGTCTTACAGAGACACACTTGAAAAGGTTCCATTTTGTGTCATAGGTTCCCATGCACCTGTGCACTCGACCTCTAATTAGCCTTGGAAGGTCCCGGTCCTTCATCAAAAGCATAGTAAACAAATTAAAAAATTGTATCACCTTTCTACCATAAAAGCTTCGAAAATGTCCGGCTGTTAGATATTAGTGGATTTCTGAAGGCTACATCAAACGCAGAAGGAATTTACATCAGCTTTTCTGCTATTATCTACTTAGAAGCTGAACTGAAAGTCGCACCATTTTTGCTGAAACAGAAGTCTGTGGATACTGAAATAATGACTGGCTCTAAACCAGTTTGGGAACAATAAGGATTAAGCATCCAGCTTTCCATTTCACTACACAGTAATTTTCTGTTTTATCAGAGCAACATATTGTTGGCTTCATAAAAGGGATTATAGCTAGTGATGTCTGTGTTATATACAACAAATACTTACAATTTCATAAAATACACAAGGCAGAATCTCCTTTCCATCTCTCAAAAGAAAATACTTTGCCCCGTATGCTCCAGGTGCGACTGCAGAATCAAGTGTGCCTATAGCATTTAGCAAAAATAAATCATGCTGTAAACATCAAAGCAGTACTAAGTATGATATACAAAGATACCATGACAACATTTACTACACAAAAGCACTAAGATATATCAAGTCAGCATCAGCTTTCTGTGAGATCTTGTGCTGACAGCACAGGAAGCTCCGATACAAATTATGGGCTTTATGTAGTCTTTCAATCATGAAATTGTGTGTGATGTCTCTCTAAACTGAGTGACCAAATATGGTTTTTATAACCATCATTGTAAACAGGTCATTCCCTTGTTAAGCAGAGCACAACACAATTCTCCTTCAGGTTTATTGATCTTCATACGCAAATAACTTTAAATATTTGCAACCTTGTCAAAAATAGTTTTCTGAGGTGCCATTACATTGTATATTCTTATCACCTTGATTTAAAGTTTAGACATTTCAGTCTTTTGCATGTTCAGTTCTCAGATAACATCAGTTAAAAAGCGAAGTGAAACACACTAAAAGTCAGCTATGTTTAGAAGTACTCCAGACTTGAATTTATTCCCAGATTAATTGTATTAAAAATGACTGTAAAACTGTACCTCTCTACAGAACGTTCATTTCTAATAGGAAAATTTATTCTAATACATTCTAAAAACAAGGAAAGAAAAGAAAGAGGATAGAAAGAGCTTAAATGTTGGAGGATAACTGTATTATTAATTTTGTTCCTATTTTAGTCACCTTTGATAGCTGAATGGATCTCCCAGCAGGAAAATTACATGGTGGTCATGCCAGTATTTTGTGGTTTTAAGTATTTCAGCTATTGTTCCTGCAGTTAATGACATTTTCTCTTGGCTGTTGCCTTACTATCATTATCAGTTATAGCACAATCTACTATGCTTACCTAAAACTTCAAATAATAGTGCAGTTTTATGAGCATATTGAGTCCAATGCTTCATGCTTTCAATGACTGCAGATATGATTCGCAAATTTGGTTTTTCTTTCATTTTTAATTGGGATGATGAAACTACCTTTCAGAGGAAGATGAAAACTCATGTTAAGAGATACACACTCAGGCAACTTTAAAAGGCACACAGGCATTTATATATTATGTTAAATATCCAATATTTACATTAAAATTAGAGTATTTGTTGTAGAAACAACTCCCTGCCAATTTACAGGATCATGCTGAGGATTGTAGGTTATTGTAGCATAAAAATTTCAATTCTAAATTTTCAGAAACTTAAGGGCTTACTAAGGCAGCTAGGACTGATGAAAACCTCATCTTTCCTTAATTTTCATTATTTTTTTCTTCAAGGTATCTTCCTATTAAGTCTTTCTGTAAGTTTACCTGTGTTTTGTTTTCTGGAACACGATCAAATTGTTTTTCATTCATTTTATTTTGCTGAATGTTGTGGTTAAACTTATATGCCAGACTATGATCCTGCAGACTTCTTGAAACAGTGTTAGTTTTCAGTGGCCATTGTCCTTTAGATGTGTATTTTTGGCTGGTTTCAGTTGTTTTGATAAACTGAGATGAATTACGGTTATCAGGGGCTTTTTGCTGTTGAACAGTTTTCAAACTGTTTGAAAGGCTCTCAAACTTTCGAATAATTCCACTATCAGATCTTGAATCTATTGTGTTAGTTAAAGGAGTATAGTCATTTCTGTTCCAGACTTTAGTACTGGGAGCCTTCTCTTCTGCCCTGCAGTACAATGTTAGACATAGTTCAGTATCACAATACCTACTCTGAATACTTAGATATGTAATTAAAGTATATAAAAGCAATCTATGCATTGTTGTTGTAGTTTTTAAAACATCTGTTAAATATTCAAAGCACCTGAGTGTGCACTTAAATTTCTCCATATACAGCGCAGTGATCACACCTGTGCTTAAACCCAGTGAACTCATTAGGCCTTAAAAGCTTGCTTAATTATTGTCCTGCCCAGTATAAGGGATCCTTCCAGAGCCAAGATTCACATCTTTTCCATAACTCTAAAATAAACAAAGTTTCTTCTGACAATGATATTTCTGAATTCTTCTACCACCATCACCAAAGAAGTCATTTCACAACAAACTCTAGTGCTGACATTATTTCTAACACCCTTCATTTTACAAAGGCATCTCAAATTCCTTCCACCTCCATTCCATTTTGCCTTTGAAGGCCTTTGAAATATTCACCCTCTTTGCCACTGAAAAGGAATAGGAGGACGGGAAGAGAGAAAAAGGACAATTATAACATTGCTGAAGTTTTCCTGCCAGCTCTATGCATCTGAATCTGTAAGCTTTTCCTTGGTTTATAAAAGCACAGCGTTCACAATTATATTCGGTTTTGACTGAATGTTTTGATATAAATTTGTTCTACTGTACACTGATAGAAATCTATTTGATTCTACTAATAAATTTGGTTTGAAAGTGGGCAAAACTTCAAGAAAAGGAGAATCTCAAAAATTTACATCTAAGACCAGAAAAATTCAATCAACTTTTACGGTAAGACTGAATTTTAGACCTGATAATCAGGCTAGGTATTAGGTCTAATTAATAGGCCTCATTAGGTACACTGGAAAGATACTTAATTTCAGTGGGTTTTGGGTCATAAGCACAAAGTAATCGTTTAGGACTACAGCAATCTGAAAATTAAAGGGGTATCTCTGAAAGCTATAAGAATATAGAAAAATGTAAGATATATTTTCACATGAGGGTAATTTTGGTTTAGGAAATAAAAATCAAAGACTCCACCAACCTGCACGCATACAAGTTTTTTCCAGCATTTGCTAAATCAGACTTTGATGCATTTGGTGGTTTCGTACAGGAAGGAGCCACCTGATGTTCTGTTGGGCTTTCAAAGATAAATTTGAATTATCGGTGACATAGTAGCAGCTTTATTGTCAGACATAGGGATCATAGTTTGTGAAATAATTAGTACCCAAATAATAATAATAATAATAATAATAATAATGATAATAAAATCAATAAGCAACAAATAAACTGCTTTTACATACCCACTGTTTGCTGCTTTCTGTAGTTCAGCCACTTCTGGGTTTGCAGTTCCCCAGCCTAATTCTCAAAAGACAAAGGATTTAATATGGATACAGACTGAAAAGACTGAAAGGCAATAGGTCTGCTTAGGGCTCCAACTACTTTATCTGCTTAATGTTCCACAAATTGTCTCACACAGGAAGGAGAAGGGAGAAAAAAAAATGGAAAGTGATGCTTTGAGATCTGTAATTATAAGGCAACTTATAACAAGTTGGTTAAGTTACAGACATTAGACTTATTAGCACAGAGACTTTATTATAAGTAAACTTTTAATCTTTATTATAAGTAAAACATAATGAAAGTACTAAAGGCAGAATTCTGCATCATTCTTTCCAAGCACAATTTGAAGAACAGAAGTTCTCTTCTGAATTACAAGAAAGACATAAATGTTTCTTCTTGTAACACAGGACTTGAATGTTGATTGAAATCAACTGAAAACAAAAGGTCAGAGTTTCAAGAGACTCTATTTAAATGCCAGTGCTACTTCATCCTCTAACACACAAAGAGTCAAACTCCCTCTAGGCGCAAAGTATAAAAAGCTCAATTGTACTGAGGAGAAAGAAATTTCCTGGAGGACATTTTTTACATAATGAACTTTTCAGAAATAAACATAAAGGATGCATACAGTTCTTGATAAAGACAATGTCTAATTTAATAAAAGACAACCATAAAGTTAAGACTTGGATTTAGAGCCATTAAAAAAAAATAAAATACATCTTATTTACCCAGTGATGTGGCAGAGAAGTTGTAAGTCCAAGTCCCAGAACTGGTACCTGGCTCATTTTGAAGTGGGTTTGAAGTGAAGGGCTGTCTATTTCTTTTTTTCTGATTGAACAGAGGTACAGGAAGACAACCTAAAATTCAATTAATTCTATACCAACAGCAAAAGGATACACAATCTACACTTAAAATATGTATATAATTTAACAATTGTTTTTACATCACCCACAAGAGTTACATTTCATAAACATGTAACAGACTAGCCACTGCCTCACAGAATTTATATTCCCAGCCCTCTGTCCTGCACATAATTCCACAAATGAAGCATTCCCCTTAGCGACCAGTCCCCTGCCTCCATTCAAAATCTTGCCCTGTGCTGCAATAAAACAGATAACCCATCTGAGTCCACTCAGGAAATGGGAGTCTGTGACTGAATACTGTATATCCTGTATGAATGCTCTGTGTGTGTATACATTATATATATATATAAAAGCACAATGAAGTACAAATGGTAAAGCACAAAAGGATGGATGGTACCTGCTGTGCTGCGAGCTGAAGTGTCAGCTAGACTCCTTTTCATTTCTTCACAGTAACTTAATAGGCAACAACGTATTGATTACTCCAGATTTGCTGTATGGAAGTTAGAGAAGCAAAGTAAACTAACTCATATTGTGAAGACATCCAAATTTTATGTGTTTTCATGGCAGTTTCTCTTAACTCTGTACACGTGACACACATCACACTTCAGACACAAGCCTAAAACATGCAAGCAGTTGTACTGAATTTAGAAGATCCATGAGTACCCAAGTAACACACAATTGCTCTTTGCAGACTGATGGCCCAAAGGATTAAATTTTTGATGTAGAAGTTGTATTCTCCACTTTTAAGTGCTGCAAAAATACAGAATTCTCTTCTGGATTTAAAAGTGTGTATATATATATATATTCAAATACAAGGGATATTTTTTTAATTCCTGAAAATAGAATACTGATAGAAAATGCATACTTATTATACATTGCTGCAAAGTGTGATGGCAACATGCACGGCTTCAAATAAAACCCGATTGAACTATTCCGTGAGAAGTGTCACGCTTCAAAAAATAAACTTATTTTCTGTACTTCACGGTACAGACCTAAAAATTTTAGCACATTTCCTCATATATAAAACACTTCACAAGTCAAAAAATCCAGTATCAGCCACATATTATGAGGAAAAATGTCTATATTAGCACATTAGGTACAGGTTGTTTGCTGTATTTGATTTCTGAATAATCTACTTCTGTACTAAGTGTCTCTGTATTAGTGTACACATCAAGGATGTTACAGACTGCTGTGTAGCTTTAGTTGCTCTCTGACCCAAGTTAGCTGCTGGTGCACATAGTTATTCTGTGATACACACCAATGGCATATGTGACATCAGGGCAGCTTCTAGTTCAGTGCTGGTACACAATTTAAACCGCATTGCTAGCACTGCAAAAACTAATGGCCACCAGTAAGCGATATGCCTCTAAAACAAACCACCACACATTCTGTATTTCAGCTTATGAAGGCAGTCTCGGGGGTTTATATGATTTTAGGCGGCTGTTTTGCCTTCTGCCCTCTCTCGAAGGCAAGCAAATAACAAAGCTGTAAGGAAAAAAAAAAAAAAGTGGTCTAAGGTTAGAGGAGATACCAGGATCAGCCTCCGCGACACCGGAGCCGGCAGCGCTGCCCGAGCCTGAGGCCCTCCCGGCGGCGGCGAACCCCTCCACAACCGGCGGGCCACGGCCGCGCGCTCCCGCCTCAGGG